TACGGCCCACTCCATGCTTTGGCCGTGTCACTGGGGCAAAGTAGCCCCGCACAGTCCGCGGTCCAGCAACTCGGCCCAGTCCACATTGTGGCCTTCCAGACCCATCCTGGCCCAAGCAACTCGACAGATGCTTCGTCACAGCAATACGGTCAGAGCAATTCGACCGTTTCACCATTACACATGTCGTTATTGCCGTCAGGCTACCATCTTCAGTACGATTCGGCCATTCCAACTACGAGCCATACGAACCCCGGTCAAACCTACGACACATATCTGGTACCACCCAGCTCGGTCACAACGGCCAAACCCCCCGTTCAAGTGGCCCAGCAGGTAAGGCCGCAGAACGAGGGCCAACAAGTCCCACGGCTAGTCACGACCCAGCAAGAGGTACCCCCTCAGGGGCTTCGATTCGAAGACGTCCGGTGAATGATCGAGGAGGGCCTGGCTTAGAGGCGCCCGGAAGCGCCAAGGTATACCAAACCATACCCGCCAGAAATTGACCGAACCCCTCTTCCCCGGAATTACCGGTTGCCAGAATTCATTCTATTCTCTGGAGATGGGCAGACCTCCTCCATCGAACACATAGGTCGCTTCACGGCCCAGTGCGGGGAGGCCAATTCGGACTCCCAGAAGCTCCGTTTATTCGTTCACTTTCTGACCGGCGTGGCTTTCTCGTGGTTCATAAACCTTCCGCTGAATTCGGTGAGGGATTGGTCTGACATGGAAAGGATATTCCACGAACATTTCTATCAGACCAATCGGGAAATAACGGTCGCCGAGCTGGCAAGGATGAGCCAGGCGTCGGACGAATCACCTCGCGACTACCTGCAGCGATTCAAAACGTGTAGGAATTGGTGCCGCACAAACCTACCGGAGGGAATTTATCAGGATGGCCGAAGAAGGGTTGGAATTCGAATACCGGAAGAAATTTCAGGGGATTGAATTCTGGGACATGCACGACTTGATCAATAAGGTGGACCGATACGCATCCTTGTTGAAGGAAGAGGTGTAGAAGAAGACGGCTTCAAAAGGGACTTACTATCGGAATCTCGTTGTCAGCTATGCCGAAGCAGACAAGCCCACAGAGGCCGAGGGCGATGAAGTTGAGATGAGCTCAGCCGAAGTCAGCATAGACAAGCCATTTGTCTGCAAAGGACTTGTCAAGGCTGACAATAGCCGCACAAAGATTCCCGACGCCAAGTTCACGACTCGAGAGACGAAGGCCTACACTTTTGATTTGACCAGGGCCAAAGCTATCTTTGACCTACTGTTAACCAAGAAAAAGGTCAAATTGTCCTTCGGCCATAAAATTCCGAAACCCGAAGAGCTCAAAGGAAAGACGTTCTGCAAATACCACAGTTCTTGGTCTCACAACACCAATAATTGCGTTGTTCTGCGAGATGTCATCCAGAAGTTGATAGACGAAAAAAAGCTTCAATTCCCGGAAAAGGCGGCCATGCAAGTCGAGTCTAAGCCATTCCCCCCGCCTGTCATCAACATGGTCAACGCTCAGCTCCGGGCCGAATACAGGGAAGTTCGTCGGCCTGCAAAAGGAATGGAGCCGTTGGCCGAACCAGAGCCGGTACCATGCGGTCGGTGCAATTCTGAGATCGGTCAGTGATGAGTCGATTTTATATTATATATTTAACCCCATTCTTAGTATATTTTGGTTAATACTTTGGAAGAATTTTGATACTTTGAATTATATTTCCAATATAGGACTTTCGATTCTCTCTGGAGCAAAACATAATCAATGAACGAATTTTGGAGTAATTCCAGTTGGAGGACGTATGTGAGTCACTTAGCTTGATCGTATCAAAATATCAGACTTTTCCACCAAGCGATGATTTCCTGGCGAATAAATGAAGGAGCAGTGCGCTGTGCTGGAATAGTGACGTTTTGGGCTTTTATTGCGTTTTTGGAGCCCAAGATGACCTCAGATGGGTTCGTAGCCTTCTGGAGAAGTGTTTAGAATATTTTTATCTTTAAAACGAGCTATCTTGGGCCAGATTTGGAGGAGATTTGAGACCAAAACGTGGCTGGGCAGATTTGGGCAGATTCTCCTAATCCAATTTGGATTTTATATCCTAGTATTATCTTATTTTAACCTAGTTTCCTTGTGGGGATTGGGCAGCTAGGTTTTAGGAGGTATTTAAGCTCCTTTTCACAGCAATTTAGGGGACTCCCTTTTTGACTTCTTTTTGGCTTTGGGAGCAATTGCTAGGGTTTTGGATTTTCGCGACTTTCAGGTGTTTTCATTCTTATTCTTCTTAATGATATTTTCTTGGATTTCAATTGTGAACATGCGTAACTAACTCTCTTTTGCTAGGGTGAGGCCACGAGCCTTAGCAAGAATATGTAGTTTCTGTCCAATTTGCTTATGATTATATGCATGCAGGTTTTCGAATTATTCATCACTGGGTTAAACTATCTAAGTGTCTTGATGCTTGATCACCATTAGGATGTTTAGAAAAGTAATTTGATGCAGTTTTGGTCGGAGGTCGGTCCCTGAAATTGACGAAGGCTTCTTGTGATTAATATGTGCAAGTTCACTTTGGATGAATAACACGTCTTAAGGGTTGCATGGTTTTT